CGAGGAAGCATGGGAATCGCACGTCCCAACCGGACATTTGGGCTCCACGGTCCCCCGAGTGAGAGGCAGGACGGGGAGGAGAAGAGAAAGAAAGAGACAGAGAGAGAGGCAGGAGGCGGAGCAGAGCTGAGAGAGAGGGGGGAGGCAGTAGGAGGAGAGAGAGAAAGAGAGACACGGAGCAAGAGACTGGAGGCTCAGGAGAGAAGATCGATGTGGAGGAGAGACCTGAAAATCCCGTCTTATGACAGGCTAATTGGCTAGTTAAGAAATAGCTACCTATTCCGCAGACAGTGGTTCTTAAGCTTTTTGGCCTCAGGACCCAGTTGTAAATGTTTAGTCTATCACAACCCAGTACATAGGCTGGGAGCGGAGGCCCTGGAGTGGTTTCTGCTGGATCCTGTCCCTCAGAGGAACAGGGTCCTGGCCTGAAAATCCCGTCTTATGACAGGCTAATTGGCTAGTTAAGAAATAGCTACCTATTCCGCAGACAGTGGTTCTTAAGCTTTTTGGCCTCAGGACCCAGTTGTAAATGTTTAGTCTATCACAACCCAGTACATAGGCTGGGAGCGGAGGCCCTGGAGTGGTTTCTGCTGGATCCTGTCCCTCAGAGGAACAGGGTCCTGGCTGGCACGCACCCCACAGTGATAGCTCACACAGGCTGGCTGGGCTTGGCTTTCCAACTTCCGGAGTTGCAACACCCTTCCTCCCTCACTGGACCACATCTATGTGAGGGAATCTGTGATCTTCATAGGGCTTCAGTGCCACTCCCTCTTATTTGGCCTGCCTGGATTCCCATTGTCACAACAGCCCAGACTTGTGCTGGGACTCCAGAGGTTGCAACGTCCGGAACAGGGAGGTGAATGAATCCAGCCAGCCCTGTGGGACAGGAACTGCCACAGGACCCTTTGAAACATCCTGGCACCCCAGTTTTGAGTCCCTAGCCACAGGCGGAGAAACCCTACGGAGAAACCCTGCAAAAATAGGGGCACACAGGGAGCATTGTGCGGGTCATGGAACAAGGCAAACAGGAGTCCACCTACCAGAGGACTATCGATCTACAAGCCAGAGAAATGTCTTGAGCCTCATACCCCAAGCTCCTTGGGCCCAGGAGGTCTCAGGATCTCTAGTGTTTACCCATTAGAGCCATGGTCTCACAGTCAGCCTTTAATTTTCTCCATCTGTGGAACCAGAACGGAAAGACCCATTGGCCCTGTTACTGGAAGGAAACAAGGATGTGAGAGCACATAGCCAGGAGTTCCCATTACAGCTTACATCAGGGGTTTTCAAACTGGGGGTCGCGACCCAGTGCTGGGGGGTGGAATGTTGGGTGCTCAGTCTCGTGGCTGCAGGGGGATCAGGTGGTCAGTGGGAGTGATAAGGCAGCTCCCAGCCTGTCTTGGCACCACATACTGTGGCCTAGACGTAGCCCTGTAGTATAACTAGTGTATAGCCTTCCATACTTGGTGAGTCTCAGCAGGGACCTAGACATCGGAGGGTGCCCTGGATTCCCCCAGATGGAGCCATGTCCGCTGCAGCTTGGTGTGAAGAGGCAGGAATGGGACTCCCTGCAGACTGAAGGGGCATAAGCATTTCTAAGTGCCTGTTGCTTTCTTCTGCCTGTGCTTATTGATGTGTCACTTTGAAGTATCTGTGTAACCATAAGGCAGCATTAACCCTGTAATAGTAGTGACATAGTGAGATTAATAAAAGCAACTATCCCTAATCAACTGTGTGAAAAAACTCCGTAATCCTGTTTGGCCACCCCTCTGAGTTGACAGCACCACACTCGCATTGGCTGGAAACCTGGTGCTGGCTGCTTCTGGGATGCAACATGGCCTGCGGTGCCAGGAAAGCCAGGAAGTTGCCTTAGCACCCCTGCTGCATTGCTGCCCTTCCTGCCCCACCTCTAACTCCTCTCCCCCAAATACAGAAACTTAGAGCACTAGAACTGGAAGGGACCTCGAGAGGCCATCGAGTCCAGTCCCCTGCCTTCATGGCAGGACCCATTATTGTCTAGGCCATCCCTGATAGATGTATGTCTAACCTTCTCTTAAATATCTCCAGAGATGGAGATTCCACAACCTCCCTAGGCAACTTATTTCAGTATTTAACCACCCTGACAAGCAGGAAGTTTTTCCTAATATCCAATCTAAACCTCCCTTGCCGCAATTTAAGCCCATTGCTCCTACATTCCAAAGATCTTATCCTCAGCACCATCCCAGAGCCCACGTGCTATTCAAATTACATTGGGTCATGGGCCTCAATGATGGTCTTCAATTAGATCATGAGGAAAAAAGTTTGAAAACCAGTGGCTTATATTTATATCAAATACTAAGAAAAGGTTTCACTCCAGCATCTCCTAGATCAGTACATTTACCTACATAGTGGCTCCGTCTTCACAATGGACCAGAAGATTTGACTTGATTTGCGTCTCTGTTTTCGCTCTCTTCCCTTTTCACTCAGGAAAGTTCTTTCAAGTGACGCTGCTGGTTGATATCATTATAAAATGTGGAAGTTCGACTGGGCCATTATACAGTTTTCTTCCCCCTTCACTTGCTCAATTCTTTAAAATCTTTCTGGTCTTTGACAATGATGGGAAGTGGTTTCAATTTCAAATAGAACACAGGCAAACCGGAGATTGTATTCATGCTAAAAGGGTATAACTCCAACATGTAATGTGTGGGCTGATCATAGAATCACATGTCTAGAAAAGACATCAAATGTTTACTAATCTAACCCCCAGCTCAAAGCAAGCAGGAGGTGAAGAAAGAATCACACACAGTACACTATTGACATTTTCCTACTCTCGGAGGGTATGTCTACACTACCCTCCTAGTTCGAACTAGGAGGGTAGTGTAGACATACCCCCAGGAAGGCACCCCTGCAATCAACTTGGGGGCCAACTCTGTCCACACAACTATACAAGCAACATCATTACAGCACTTAACCTAAGCCACCACATCAGAGGCTCATACAACTGCACACCCACTAATTCGATCTATGCCATCAAGTGCCAGCAATGCCCCTCTGCCATATATATTTGCCAAACTATACAGTCTCTATGACAAAGGATTAATGGATACAAGTCAGATATCTGAAATGGTAACACACAGAAACCTGCTGGAAAACATTTTAACTTGCCTGGGCACTCACTAATGGATATGCAGACCATCCTGCCTGAATTTTCTGGGCTAGTCCAATTTTTAATGTCCTGCCCCAGTGCCCCATCTCAGAAAGTCCCCAAGCTCCAAATGCAGCTAGAAGTTGCTGCATTTGGCAGCAGTCATTGTCCATGGAAGGGAGTGAAAGTAGAAAGATCAATAGTTGTGTGTTGTGAAGCCCCAATCAGGGATGCCTCTCCATCTCAGACGGACCCAGCGTCTCCTCACAGGTAGGGAAGTTGTTGATGAATGTATGAACATGCTGCAGAAGGGAAGAAATATTGTAAGTTGTGTTTGCCTACAAAACCTGCAATGGTGTCAGCAGAGCATTTATGTTCTAATGACGTGGCAGCCTGCTGTGTGAGCCACATTCATGTCACTACATATACCTTACACCCTTTCTCTAGGATGTTCCACACTTCCATCCTTTTAATTTCTCTATTTATATCCAGCCAAACAGCCAGATTCTTAGGCTTTGTCGACAGTATCTGTCAAAGAGCGTCTAGACTACAAAGCATTAGCGTTATCGACAAAGCATCTAGACTACAGCCAGTTCTGTCGACAAAGCAAGCCACTTTGTTGACATGACAGTGTAGACGCAAAGGGCAGTGTAGATGCAATAACACCTTTTGTCCACAGAACTCTGTCGACAAAGGGCATTATTCCTCATAAAATGAGGTTTACCACCATCGACAAAACTGTCGCGTTCTATCGACATTATGTTGACATAACTCGGCGGTAGTGTAGACACAGGTATAGTTTTGTCAACAAAAGTCCACTTTTGTCGACAAAACCCTGTAGTCTAGACAAACCCTTAGATTTGTCTCAGCACCTCCCCTGCCTCTTTAACTCGGGAGAATTTGATGCATCTCTTGCACTCATGCTAACACATGATTAAAATATATTCTTAATATATTCTTAATATATATAGTCTTAAAATATATTCTCAAGGGATTGTCTTCTCTGGACAATATATGTCAAGTTTTAACACACACTGAAGAAATCCTGTTGGCGACTGCACTGTTGTGCTCAACATCTTGATAGTTAATATGACTTTTCAAGATGCTGTCCTAACTTGATGTAAGACTTAAAAGGCAGTGGTTTCACACACTCATTCGCTATTACACCCACCTAGATCCCCTCGCTCGTATGTCTCCTCTGATCCTTATGTTTTATGGGGCTGGAAAGATGGCATTGACAATCACTCACCTCTCCTAATATCAGTGCCAAAATGCAGAGAACCAGGAAGGCAAAGACCAGTCGGATTATGTTAATGTTGCGGAAGCTTTTCCGTGCAAAGTTTCCTGCAAGTAAAGAGAGGTGAGATAACCATAAAAAGTCTGAAAAAGTAATGGGCATAAATGCATCTCTCATTAAATTATCCAGGAGCGGCTCTCTAAGGATACAGCAGTGTTATTCTGAAATAACATTGAGCATGTCTACACTACAAGCCTTTATTTCAACATAATGTCGAGCTGGAGGACTTCTTACTCCGACTCTTATAACTCTCATTTCATGAGGAGTAAGGGAAGTCGGAGGAAGTGTTCTTCCTTTGACTTCCTGCTGTGTAGACAGCGCCAAAAGCTGAAATAAGCTATTTTAATGCAAGCTATGCAATTGACATAACTGAAGTTGCATAGCTTAATTTGGCTTTTGCCTTGCAGTGTAGATGTGCCCTAAGAATTCTCCTTCATCTCAGGAATGGGTTGTGAGAATTTGAGGGAGGAAATCTTGCTGGATTCTCTGGGGGTGTATCAATACTGCACCGTTATTTCAGAATAACAGCCATTATTCAGAAATAACAATGCGAGCGTTCCCTTATTTCGAAATAACATCAAAATAGCAGATGGCTTACTCTGACTTCTGTAAACCTCATTCCATGAGGAATAACACCTCTTCCGAAATACCTATTTCGAAATAGGGCGTGTATGGATGCTCCACTGCTGCTATTTCTAAATGGCTCCTCACCAGGGCCATTCTAAGTAATTTCTCTCCAGCACCTCCTGGGGCTTTCAATCAAGGTAGTGTATCTACATTAGGGAAGCCTGCCTTGGGCTAAAATTGAGGTTTCCATGCAGTGTAGATGTGCTATTTCGAAATAAGCTATTTCGGAATAAATCTTCTGGAATAGCTTATTCCGAAATAAGCGTGCAGTGTAGACATAGCCTGGGTTATCTTTCTCCGTAGTTGACCTTTTGCTGTTGAAAGGGTAGTGGATAGGAACAAGGTAGCATCTCACACCAAGTCACCTTTTTTGTGCCTTTTGCTTTTCTACATAGCATTCATTTTATGAAGGAACAACATGGGCGTGATGAGGTTCAAATTATCACCAAGTTTACTAAACATATATAATGCATTAGGCCTACTCACTTATACACACTGCTGCTGTGGGAGGGTCTTAGTGTCTTCTGAAACAGAAGACAATGAAGGACATTAGAGGGCTCACAAGCTGCTTAAAGAGAATACTACCCAATTTCTATAGATTACAGGAAGACACAAGGTGCAGCATGGCAAATCTTTAGGATATGTTTTCTCAGCCAGCAGAAACCCCTGGTAGGAGTCTCAGAATCTGCATCTACAGACTCGAATATGCAGGGCTTGCGCTATCACATTTTAAAATAGCTATCCAGTGGTTTAAGCATGGGTCGGGCTCAGGCTGTGAAACCCACCTACTTCTCTAAGCTTCAGAGCCCACGCTGCAGCCTCTCTGAGCCCACGTTTACCCCGCTGTTTTTAGTGCCAGTTTCTCTGTCTTCCCCATTACCATGCAGTATCATATACAATCAGTTCTGTCTATTCCTTTCTCAGGTTCCCTTGCTTTCCTTTACTTGTAATCTTTTCCACCATTCTAGCACTCACGATCTTTTAACTAGACGTCATTTTTGACATTTGAAACAGCATCTTTGCGGCTGTGCTTTCAGCTTTGTGATTTCTTCTCAGTTCCCTTAAGCGCCGCGTCCCAAATGCAGAAATGATACTTTTGGTCAGAAAAAGCATGTTATCGAACAAAGCTCCCGCCTTTCCCCTCAGCTCAGATCAGGGTCCTTTGTACACTGATACGCTATCTCGCCCCTCATTCCCTAATACCTTCAGTCACTATTGGATTCGCTGTTGCATTGGCTCATAAATCATGGTTCATACGGGCTACATCTAGACTGGCATGATTTTCCGGAAATGCTTTTAACGGAAAACTTTTCCGTTAAAAGCATTTTTGGAACAGAGTGTCTAGATTGGCACAGACGCTTTTCCACAAAAGAACTTTTTGCGGAAAAGCGTCCGTGCCGATCTAGACGTGCTTTTCCGCAAAAAAGCCCCGATCACCATTTTCGTGATCGGGGCTTTTTTGCAGAAAACAAAGCTGAGCTGTCTACACTGGCCCTCTTTCACAAAGGTTTTGCACAAAAGGGCTTTTGCTCGAATGGGAGCAGCATAGTATTTCCGCAAGAACACTGACAATCTTACATGAGATCGTCAGTGCTTTTGCGGGAATTCAAGTGGCCAGTGTAGACAGCTGGCAAGTTTTTCCGGAAAAGCGGCTGATTTTCTGGAAAAACTGGCCAGTCTAGACACAGCCACAGTGACTAGCACATCCCAGCATCCTTGGCCTGCACACCCCAGATCACAAGAGTAGCATTCTGGCACGTCTGCCCACTGCTAATGTTCCTTTGCCATGTCCTTAGTCAACTGGCAGGCTCTCTCCCATCAGCTGTAGGCTGTCCCGGTGCAGTTGTCCAGCATGTACACCGAGATGGGGAGATTCCCAATGCCTGTCATGAACTCCCACTTGATGCAGATGTCTCCCCAGGCTGAGTTCAGGGATTGGAGGGAGAAGGGCAGCAGAGGTGTCTGATTGGTGATGGCATGGACTGGATTCTTGGGTGTGATTATAGAGAGGGCAGGCAAGGCATCTGAGTGTCAGAACAAAGATGGAAAATTCCATGGGGCTTTACCTGTGGGGGGTGAAAACCTCCTTAACTGATCCCCCAATCACCTAATGTGCAGCTGGAATGGAACCATTGCCCTCCAAGTGAAAGTCTTTGTAGCCCATTCCCCACCTTTCTAACCAATGCAGTGGCCAAATATTATAGAAGTTACAGAGGGAGTATATCAGTGAACCGAAAGATGGTATTTATAACATAGACACTTTTTAATTTTGTAAAACTCACATGAAGAAGACCTCATAGCTACATATAATGTTGAAAAATAGTTGCGTTCACACCTTTGTTGCTGCTGTGGTTTGCCGGAGACAGCTTTGTGCTAGGGTAGATTAACACCACTACCTCAGTTGCACAGCTCACAAAGATTCTAGTTTGAAACTCAGTAAGGATTTAATTGCTGTTGCTCTACACCAGTGCTTCTCAAAGTGGTCTGTGAAATGGCAAAATAAACAAACCGGCATGACCAGTGTCATAACCAGGAGTGCTGAGCAGCACCTGGTGACTAAGGGGTTAACTAATGTCTCCTGTACCTAGCCAGGTATCAGGTGGTTAGTCAATAACAATTCAGGCAGGAATTTCAATTTGGAAGAGAGGTTTTTTCCTCTTTCTCTTCTGTGTTTGAGAGGCAGGGCAGTTTCTTCTTAGACTAAGGGAGATGGGAGACACTTCTCTCTCCAAGAACGGACTTCTTAAAATGTGTAAGTAGGGGAAACTTTAGATAGCACATCAGGATTTGTTGTTTTTCTTGCTTGGGCATTTGGAAATAATGTCTGAGCTGTTAATTGTGTTTTTCTTTTTTTTTTTTCTTTGTAACTAATTTTTAGCTCGGGGGGTTCCCTGAGTATCTATATCAATGTATCCATTATAATATGCTTCCAATTGTAGTTTTGTTTTGATAATAAAGAATTGTTTTCTTTTCTAATTAACTGGGGTTGGTTGATTGTTGTGTCTTTATGACTCAGCACCTAGTTACAAGGGCAGAGTCCATTGTTGTCTGTGAATCCCCTCTGTTTTTCCCAACTTCAAGCAAAACAAAGTTTGGGGCAGAGGGAGAGTTTTACCTCCGGGAGGAGATTTCCAAAGTGATCTCTCCCCTGGTTTTCTTGGAATTACTTGGGTGGTGTCAATGGATTCCCCAAAATCCAGATATTAGGATTTGGGGGTTGGTTGATTGTTGTGTCTTTATGACTCAGCACCTAGTTACAAGGGCAGAGTCCATTGTTGTCTGTGAATCCCCTCTGTTTTTCCCAACTTCAAGCAAAACAAAGTTTGGGGCAGAGGGAGAGTTTTACCTCCGGGAGGAGATTTCCAAAGTGATCTCTCCCCTGGTTTTCTTGGAATTACTTGGGTGGTGTCAATGGATTCCCCAAAATCCAGATATTAGGATTTGGGGCAGGAAGGAAGGGTTTTTGGACCAGAGCCTGTAGAGGCAAGATTTTGGAGTGCTCTTGCAAGTCCGCACTTCTGCATTTGTCATGCTAGAGTGGGGAACAACTTTGACAACCAGTTAAAGTGTTTCTCAAAGTGGTTGAGAAACACTGCTATACACAATCCATTTATGAGGTCCCCTCTGCCTTGGGGAAGCATTCTGAGCATTTTGACGTCAGAAAGATGCCAAACAATTAGGAGGGAGTGCAGAGTAGTGAAAATGGTGAGAGGCCTAAAGGGAGCAATTTGTGGGGAAGAGATGAAAAGAGCGAAGCAGAATCATAAAACCTAGGGCTGGCAGAGACCTCAGGAAGTCACCGCGTCCAGCCCCCTGCCCAAAGCTGGACCAACCCCAACTCAATCATCCCAGCCAGAGCCTTGGCTGCAGCCAAACTTCACAGAGCATAGGTCAGTGGAGGCTGTGCTTAGATGGCTGCAAACTCGCCTTTGTACTAGCTGGATTCTGCTGCGGCTCTGGACAGGCTGGTCCTGCTGCATTATAGTAGAGCCAGGCCCGAGGAACGCACAGGCCTTAATTTGTAATGAGAGGTGCTGGGACTCAAGTCATTTTTTTATAGTCATAACTAAGGCAACATGCCCAGAGGTGCCAGAGCTAGAAACTGGCACAAACCAAGCAATCGGAGGGTACCTCCAGGTTACACCAGCTGTACTGGCCAGAGGGCTGCCGGCTGTATCGGTGCCCTCCAACTCTCTTTGTACTGTGTGGAGATCTTTAGTCCCCCTCTGCCCCCGAATATCCTGATGTTGGACAACGACCCTTTTCCCCCTTCTTTTAGTTACCTCCTGTCACCAGTGGGGTAGTTTCCCTTCTGTCAATTCTCGTCACCAGTGGGGTAGTTTCCCCTCTGTCAATTCTTGTCACCAGGGGGCTGGTAGTTTCCCCTCTGTCAATTCTTGTCACCAGGGGGCTGGTTTCCACTCTGTCACTGGTGAGCTCATTTTCCCTGTTACCTCCCATCACCAGAGACTCGGTTTCCCCCGTGATACTTTCCATCACGGGACTTGCTTCCCCTCTGTTACCTTCCACAATCAGGTTCACTAGTGCAGTGTCCGACACATCCAAGCTTCGTACTGTGACCCGGTAGGTCCCCGCATCGTCTGGTTGCACAGCTCTGAGCACTAGTGAAGCATTCTCTTTCTCAAAGGAGATGTTCGCTCGCTGCTGATAAAATCCCGCCAGCTCCAGGTTGTGCTGGCAGGTTCTTTCCTGTGACCCAGGGGCTGCAATGCATTTGTCCACCATGTAGACCAAGATGGGCCGGTTGCCGGTGACGAATTGCCACTTGACATGATAGAATTCCCACGCGGAGTTGTGGAACCGGAGGGAGATGGGCAGGACAGCAGTCTGACTGGGAGAGACCCGGACTGGGTTCTGGGATGAAATTACAGAGAGTGCTGAGGTATCTGCGCAGGAAAGAAAAGGGGAACAAATTACCCAGGGAATCAGTTCAAACAAATAGAGAGCCCTGTGAAGAAATTCCTCTGCACACCTGGGGTGTGTCTAGACTACAGGGTTTTGTCGACAAAAGTGGACTTTTGTAGACAAAATTATACCTGCGTCTACGCTGCTGTGGAGTTCTGTTGACATAATGTCGACAGAACTCAGCAGTTTTGTTGATGGCGGTAAACTTCATTCTACGAGGAATAACGCCTTTTGTTGACAGAGTTCTGTTGACAGAAGGCATTATTGCGTCTACACTGTCATGTCAACAAAGCAGCATGCTTTGTCCACAGAACTGGATGTCGTCTAGACATTCTTTGTTGCCAGAATTTGTAGACAAAACTTCTGTCGACAAAAACCTGTAGTCTAGACATACCCATGGAGGCAGCGCCTAACATTTAAAGAGATCTTTCCCCAGCAAATTTACTTCAGATGGCACTGCCAAAGTTTTAGAGATATATAGTGAGGGCTCTGGAGAGCGAGTTCTTAACAGGCGATTTTGTTTTCCCCCTGTGGGCTCCGTTTATCTCCTCAGAGCTTTCGGTCAGCTTGTATCCCACACTGGGTTGTAGTAAAAAAGTAAAATACTACTACCATACAACTGGGTCCCTATAAATCAGGAACTGTGCTGTTGCCTGTTTGACTGCATTGAATGAGCCAACTTTGCTAGAGACAGCAGCCGTCTGCATTTAGGTCTACGTTGTAGCTCTAAGTTCATACTGAGCTGTATTGAGTGCAAGCCATCAGAAGGCATTGCAGCTGGGAAACTGTCAGCTCTCTCTCTCTGGGCAGAGGGCGTAGGATGCTTGCCCCTGACAGAGAAAAAGCGGATACCCCCTCAACAGGGAGCTTTCACACTGCAAAACTGAACAATGCAGCATTCCCCCAAGCAGCAGGGAACAAAAGAGACCGGATGGAGTTTCTCCCTCTCCTAAAAATACTCTGTGAGCGACCAACCTGCCTCCCTCTCCTCTATTCAGCAGCTACTGAGCTCTAGTCTCCTACATGTCTTACTCACCTATACACATGCAGAGAAGGAGCACACCAATCATTGTAATGGAGGGACACCCAGATGAACCCACCACAAGCCTTGTTCAAGCTACGAACTCAGCCTCCGACCTCCACAAGTAGGCACAAGCCTTCCTCATTCTGTTTCAAATCCTCTTGATAAAGACAGGCGCATTTCTTCAATACGAAAGTGCCTCCCGGTTATATACGCATGGCAAGGCGGCAAGCCTTGTGCTAGGCTTTCTCGCTGAGAGACAAAACGTACAGTGCTACCTGTGACGGTCAGTTCAGGTCTCAGAAGAAAGGATGTGGTTTCAGGCCCACTGGCTTCTGCAGACAAGGCAGGTTCATTTGAGCCCTAATTTGGCAAGGTAGGGGCAAAGCAGAAATGACAAGCTCATACTGAATTCTCCACCCCTCCTCCTAAGTGCTTGACCCTCCTAGCTTGGGGTACTCTGTATATTTGATAAGAATACTCTCCACTCCATTATCCAGTTCACTGAAGAGTACAAGACCCAGCGCAGACCCTGATAGACCCCACTAACTACATCCTCCAGGTGAACCATTGGGAAATACACTTTTAGTAGGATGTTTTGCACCCACATTTCAGTAATTTTATGAAGACCAGATTTCCTTAGTTTGCCTATGAGAATGTCACATGGAAATCAAATGCTTTCCTACAAGATACATCATGTCCAAAGCTTCCTCCCTATCCATTGTGCTCTCGCTCCATCGAAAAAGGAAATGATGTTAATTCCAGCATGATTTGTTCTTGACAAATCCATGTTAGCTATTATTCTTTATCATGTTGCCCTCTAGGCGCTCACAAATGGATTGTTTAACAATTTGTTCCTGTATCTTTCCAGGCATAGATGCTAGGTTGACTTTCTATAATTTCCCCAGTCCTCTTTGTTTCTCTTTTTGGGTACATCTAGACTATGTTTTTTTCTTTTGAAAGTAGATATTCATATTGGCCACTCACTCTGCTTTCTATTTTGCCTTCAAACTGAGAGTACGTTTACACTGCAGAGTTTTTCCGGCATACCTCTGGTATCCCGGGAAATCTCTGCAGTCTAGGCATAGCCTAAATGTCCTTCTTAAAGTACCTACCAATGGGGAATATGAGGCTTCATTAGTTAGGTCTAAATTCTGCGATTCTGAAAAAGGGTTTTTTCCCTAACATTTGGCCTAGTGTAGACGGGTCAAATGTCAGAAAAGCCTCTTCCAAAAAAGGAAGCGGAAAAAAGGTACGCAAATTGTGCAAACCGCTTTCTGACCTCCCCCTTCCTACAGTGTAGACATAGCCTGAGAAGTTTGCTGTTATACCCTTAATAGTCTCTCTCTGAGAAACTGTCGGCTCTCCTGAATGTCCTTTTCCTTTAGTTTTCTTCCTGTGGGGGTTTACTTACCAGTTCTGAGTTTTAGTCAGCTTCTTTGAAGTTCATTTTCCATATTCAATCCTTTCTTCCCTTAGAATTGTGAAATCATATAATTTCATGATCACTTTCACAAAGATCACCTTCACTTGCTAGATTGGCAACCAATTCCTCCCCATTAGCCAGAATCAAGTCTAAAATGGCTACCTCCTGGTTATTTTCTCCATCTTTTGAAACAAGTTGTCCCCAATCCAGTCCAAGAATTTACAGGGCATTTTGTGTTTTACCATATTACTTTTCACTAAATAGCTGGGTAATTATTATTGAGCAAATATTACCATTATTATCAGGTTGTGTGTTTTGGAAATATCCAAACTTCAGTAACTTCTTCATTTGGTCAAGAAATGCCTCACTCGCTCCCTCTTTCTGATTTGGTGGCCTGCGGTAGACTTTTACCATGATGTCACCCTATTTTTTCCCCTTCTGTTTTTACCCAGTCTTCCTCTGACCTCCTTCTGGACCTCAGCATAAAATGTATATATTGTTGGTGTAGAGTGGAACACCACCTCATTTTTTTTTCCCTTTGTCTATCCTTCCTTGATACACTCTGTCCCATTTTATAATATTTCAGTCATGAGACTTATCCCACTAAGTTTCAGTGATGCCAATTATGTAACAGTGTAGCTTACGTAGTAATACTTCCAGTTTCCCTGTTTTTTCCCCCAAACCCCTTGGCTACATCTAGACTGGCATGATTTTCCGGAAATGCTTTTAACGGAAAAGTTTTCCGTTAAAAGCATTTGCGGAAAAGAGCGTCTAGATTGGCGCCAAATCACCCGTCACTTGGAAAGGTCTGGCTGTGATGAGCTGTGCCAGGCCTGCTGCACCCCCTGCTGGCGGCCCAGGGGCACTGCCTGGAACAAGGTGAAAAAATAGGGTGACATCATGGTAAAAGTCTACCGCAGGCCACCAAATCAGAAAGAGGGAGCGAGTGAGGCATTTCTTGACCAAATAAAGAATTTACTGAAGTTTGGATATTTCCAAAACACACAACCTGATAATAATCTGGTAATATTTGCTCAATAATAATTACCCAGATATCTACCCAGATATCTACTGAAAAGTAATATGGTAAAACACAAAATGTCCTGTAAATTCTTGGACTGGATTGGGGACAACTTGTTTCAAAAGATGGAGAAAATAACCAGGAGGTAGCCATTTTAGACTTGATTGAAAAGATTCCTCCACTGACTTCCTTCTTGTTGCTCCTGTGACCCTATTGTCATTTTCCATTACCTACTCCCAACATTTAGCCCCGCACTGGGGTCACCTTGTTAATAAACCTACGTGGAATGGCTTCCTCTGAGTCCCAGCTTACTGCGTAGTGATCTCGGCTTGCTCTCTGTCTCCCTCCCCAGCTCAATATCCTGATTCTGAATACAAACCCATTTCCTCCTGCTCTGTTACCTGCCGTCACCCTTTGGCGTCTCCTCTGAAGGAGCAATTGCTAACCTCCCAGGCTCCTTTACTCTCTCATAGATGCCAGGGCAGCGCCATACCTATTGCTGCTCTGATCAGTTGAGACCTCAATAACAGAGGATGTGGTCTCTGGCCCAGGGACCTTCTTCTCCTATCACAGGCTAGTCTGCACTAATTCAGGCATTCGGGAGCAGAGCGGAAATGGCCACTAACACCATTTCAAAGAACTTGAAACAGAAAATGGTGAAACTAAAAGCACCACAGCGGAGGTGTTAAAAAAACAATTTCTGGTAGCAGGGTACTTTTATCAGAGGCGGCAACGCTGGGGGAGGGGGAAGAGAGGGGGACAGTGGAAAGTGCTTTGCAGCTGGGCATCTGCCTGCAACGGGCTCAGCTTGCTGCAGATAGATGTGACTCCATGACAGTCTCCCCTCCGTCTCCCCTAGCAGCCTCTGTCCACAGGGAGACTTCCATGGGCAGGGGCTGCTGCCACCCTGTGCTGCTACTTCTGTATCAGAGGCTTCAGCACAGGGCAACAGGAAGCCCGTCTGCAAGGGGGGTTGGTTTTTAAATGGGCTCCCCTCACGGATCTATTCCCTCCTGCCACACTAAGGCAGTGTTTCTTAAACTTTTTAAGACCTAGGAACACCAAACAATATTTTTTTTATGAGGAACACCAAGGATATTTTTGTTGAGGGGAAAAATAAAAGCCCCCAAGGAAACGTTGATGAGCAAAAAAAAATAAAATAAAAAAGGAGGCTTGTCCCTTTAAGGAAAGCCATTTTGAATTCTGTTCTCTTCGTAGCACACCTCTGACTGCCTTGTGGCGCTCAGGTGTGCCACGAAACACACTTTAAGAAATGCTGGGCTAAGGCATCCGCTGCAGGTAGGAAGATGGGGTGGGTACCTGGGGCTCAATGTTGAAGGCATCAGCTCCCAGATTGTGGATTCAAGCCCCACCCACGCGCCTCCTACCCCTGGAGGGGGGACTCAACCTCTTCCCTTATCATGGTCACCTAGGGAAGGAGCTGGGGGTCCCAACTCTGGGGAGCTGTCTCCATGCTGGGTGCTTCCCTGACCCGCTGATCACGGTGTGCAGCTCCAAGCAAGTACAAATTATTAAACAGCAGCCAATTAAAAGAATAACAGGAAAGGTTGCAGAAAACTCATCCCCTTGTTCTGTGGCATCTCAAACAGCATCTCTGGGATGTCAGGGCAGTTCACAGTCTGTTCCTCAGCATCCTGGCTGCGCTGCCGTGGGTCGGATGCTTGCTCTGGGTAGCAGGAGCCTTTTTTGTTC